TCACATTCTCACAGTTCTTGATGTGAGTCAACAACTCGGGTTTTAGATGTAACTCAAAGGTTGCTGTAGTCTTTCTTATATGTAATGGAATGGTTTCCTTTTGCCTTCTTGCACGATATTTAGCTGCGGAACTTGAGTACAGTTTGTGATGTACCCTAGTTCTTTCGCAATGATTATCGGAACAGTCGATTCCAAACTTGCATGATTACCTTGTGGTCTGCACCAGCTGACCGTCAACACCTCTAATCTTATGTTTAGAGAGGGCGTTGCGAGGCTCTCCATGTAGTAATCCCTTGGCCAGGAATACCCTTTAAACAGAATATTTCGTATTTCAATCGTTTCGCCCTGTTCATTCCACGGGTTGTTTGTTTTCGTGTCCTAAGAACCCACAAACTTGTCATCGGTGGTCTTTTGGATACGATAAATCGCTGTCGCGTAGATTTCCTTTTGGGATGTATTCTCCAGCTCAGTGCTAGACAACTTGAACAACACATTGGGGAGAAGACCCAGATCTAAAGGTGAGTGAATAATTTGGTTTTACAATATTTATCTTCTTTTTTGGAAATTTACTTGGTGCTGTGCTACAACACTTGCCATTTTTAATAGTATTGTAAAACACGAAGCAAAAAAAAATTTCGCAACCATCCTATATAGACCCAAGATTTAGCGGTGGGTAGTACGTAATGTTCTCTACTTGACACAGCCATTTTAATACTGTGAGTTAGTAAACCTGTATTCGGCAACCCTTTACAGGCGAAGGAATCCGCTCACTTTATCGCAAAATTTACAAAGTATGTGCAAACTCGGTTTACGTACCCTGCAGTGATATTTATGGTATGATAGTCAAGGGGATTATGCTCACTACTTACGGCGAGTAAAATCTTAGCTGGACTCTGCTTTCGTCGTGACGTAGAACTCGGTCAAGTTGAAGCAGCAGGGCATTCTTTAGGGGTATGGAGAAGCCAGGGTGGCTACCTCGTCCGACCCAATCCACTTCAAGAGTCTGGACTACTGTGCTGTACTGGAGAATGTGTATTGACACAACAGGAGGTACTATACCGATGAATTCCTCGATTATGTACGAAAATCTACAGGATCTGGTACTGTAAAAGCCGACTCTCTAATCCATGCCAGTGGTTAAGATCCGTGTATTCAGAATCACGAGGGTATACACCCAGGACCAAGCATGGCTAACAAAAAACTGTACTCGGTTCTCTCGGGTTAACGCGCAGAAGGTCTGGTTTGGGTTTAGACAGGGTGACTCGCGACTCCTCAGACTTAGGGATCCGTCCTCCGATGTTGTGTCAATATTCTACAGTATGTATTGTAAGTACTGCATTTTTGCTCCAAACTAGAGCATAATCTTCGTCAACTCGTTTGAATTTGATGAGCACCAGCCACTGGTGAGATTGCGTACCTCGCCACGCAAAGATTTGATGTATTTTACAGTATTGTAGCGCTGGAGAGGGTACGAAAACCCCGTAGTAAAGTTGTCAACTGCACAGGCACACGTACCTACATAGTTACTTATGTTCTTTACGATACCGGTATTCTTTAAAACTCAAAGTAAGATAAATTATTTACCTGTTTAATATATACCAGCAGCTCTCTCTTTGCATGACGTCTCACACTTCTTCTTTGCAGCTAACTTAAAAAGCTAGCGACACTTTTCCGACGCGTTTCTCTTACTGGAAACCCCAAACAAGTCTGTAGTGTATATCATTTTACACCGTGAGCAGCGGCCCATTAGTTCATACATAAGTACATGGGCAGGATACGCTTTTGGATTCTGGATCCCTGACTTGCAAAACTGTATTTTACATTCAGCGGTTCTGGGTCATATTGATGTCCACTGGCAAATTTCAGTGCTCGTTTAGTCTGCTTCGAGCTCGTACATTGTTAGCCCCAGCTCGAGCGCAATATGATAGAAAAAAAAAACCAATACTAACAACGTTTGATGTAGCTGACATGTTGTCGTCCCTCTGACTAGTCAATGATACAGTATATGACCCTGCCGTGTATGAATCCAGCACTCGCAGCGCATTTAAGTCTTAAAATACAGCGCGATCTATCGGATCCATGTATTTGTTTGCCGTGTGCTACATTAGCGAATATATGGGTGGCAAGTTCAGTATTAATCTACAGAAGAATCACCCGGCGATTCTCCGGGGAACCGGGGCCCGGAGACAGTCGCAGAGGAGGATTAGGACGTCATCGCTCGATTGAAAAGCATCCTCCATGCGACGATGCTTTTCATTGCGAGCGAGTTGATGGAGTGTCGCGGAGGCGACAGTCCCGCTCTAAGAGCCGGGTGTGTCGGCAAGGTACATGTATTTTTGAAATACCGCAATTGTTGGAAGAGTCTCACCGCATTCTCATTGAGACGGTAGAGCATTCCATACTTTGCTTTAGATTTATTGTAAAGGCACATGCAAAAGCAACGAAGCATGGCGATTTCCACTGCTGAGATGGAGCACCAGCAACAACGGAATGGTCCGCAACCCCAGGCTTCTCCTTACGGGTTCACCGTTTGTGGTGTGACAGTCAGCGTTACATCGTTCGACTTGTTTAATCGACAAGGCGTCAGACAGGTAAAACTGAAATGGCTCGCAAAGTTGCATCAAGTAACGAACAGTATTGCCAAATGCAATGGCCGACTCTCTTCCGTGCCCCATACAGCGCAGTGTATCAGTAGGTATGCAACGTTTTTGAGGTGATTTTGTAAAGCTAAGCTGCCCGTTTGCGCTGGTGAGTCCGTTTCGAACAGAATACACATACAAATTCGGTGTGTTTATTTTGGTTTACCCGTTTCCTGTGTATACAGCCAGTGATGACGACCACGGGCTCGCTGCTGCACCTCGTCCTGGGATAGTCGCGCCGGCTTCCTAATGGCATCAGGCTGATGCATGGCTGGCGGCAATCAAGAGTCTCTCTTGCACTGCAGTTTCGCTCGAACAAAAAGTTTGTCTATTTTCACTGCTCTAGCTAATAGCTTCGTTGGCTAAATCTCAGACGGAACATATCTTTTACGAGTGTGGTAGGCATAGTTTATTGTCTGAATTTGAGCCTCCATTCGAGTGTGTTGTAGCCAACCAGGATGACGCTACGCTCCACTCAAAGCCATCCTCGCAAAAATTCGGCTGGAAGTTCAACGAGGGTTCACCAGCGGGCTTTTCCCGATTTGCCAGTAGGATTTGAACGGCCGTAAACGCGACGGACAGACGGACGCGCCAAAGAAGGTTTGGAACGCGATGACTTTTCGCTGGCTGCACCGTCCAGTAATCTGTCGTAGGTCGCGCGAGCTAAAGCCAGTCGCAGGAACTGGTTGCTCGACGGTGTCGTGCAAAGCCTCAGCGTGCAAAGCGCGCCGAACTTGATTTTTGCGAGTCAGAAACCGATCGGGGCTGCCGCGTTTGCTGGTGTTTTGGTAATTGTGCTGAGCGCAGCCCTCGTCAATGCGGGGCTGCTTTCTAAAAAGATGTCGACACGATCGCCATGAACTCAGCGGTAAGTTGTCCGTAGGCGAAGCATTCAGTGTCGAACTCGTGGATTGCAGTGCCACTGCCTCAACACGCGCACGGTGCAGCCGTGTTTGGTTGCGTGAGACACCGGCGTGTTCTCCTTTGGATGGGGCATCGAAGCTGGGAGAACAGCGCGCAAAAGCAACTGTTCACCTCTGGTCGACTCACAGTTACTGCAACCAACTTGTGTAGGCGTGTGGTATAACATCCGCTATCTCCGCATATAGGTCTCCAAGGCCATTTTCCAGGTCTCAAGTACACATTGCAATGTGGCAGGTAGCACCAGCTTATCGCTGGGCTGCGTCTACAATGTACATGTAACTCCAGCCTGGAAAGTCTTTTCAGCGAATCCACAACTTAACAACGTTTTCAGCAGTTTACTTTTACGCGACCGGAATCGGACGAGCGCAATGATGGCACGGCGCACTTTCTCGCTCATTGTTTTCCGCCAGATGGGTGCGCGCTTCTTCCTACTGAAATGTCAAAGCGCAAGCAACAACCCAGAGCGAAGCTGGGCGGTGACATGTGTTGATTATTCTACGCCAGGCTAATCCAAATCCCAACACGGATCGCCTACGCCTCGTGAAGAAAACTTTGGGCTGCGCTAGTATACGGGCAGGTGTTGCTAGGGTTTGCCATCGTACCAGTCGAAGGGAATCCGAATCGCATGACGTGCTCACCGCCAGTGAAATCGGACCAGCTTCGAGCTCAACAGCAGAGCCGCTTGGTAGGACAGACGGCATGTTTACTTTTTCGGAGAGGTAGGGCAAATCGTCCTGGGATTGAAGCTCGAGTTTTCTATGCTGGCAAATCTTCGTATTCGCTCTTGCCAGTCGCCACTGCAGCCGCGACCAACAACTCAGTTCAGCAGCTCGTTTGTCAGGGCACTCACGCTGTTCACTTGGCAAAACACCACCCAGCGCGCAAGCTTCCAACCTGTTCAACAATTGTCTAGCGACCATGCAAGCTGGCCCCGTCGGATCTTCGCGCCTGGCTCCGCTCCTGCAGGCGGCCTCGATGCCGTCCGAGCCGTACTCGGCCCCGCACACGATCCGTACCATCCGTCTGCCGTCACTGGCACCACGTTTGCCCACCCTACCCAGTCTCATGAGCACGCTCGCGGCGCAGAACGGCTACGCCTCATCGGCCACCTCGTCGCCAACCCGCACGTCGTCATCGATCTCATTCCTGCTGAACCCGCCTGCTCGCCAAGCCGCGAACGCGCAGCACCACCTCAACCAGCAGCAGATGTACGCACCCGCTGCCTCGACGGCGCCGTCCACCATCCTGTATCACCCGTACGCGAACTCTGCGTCGTCGATGCCGATGACCACAAGAATGATCCAGCCGCAGGAAGTGAAGCCGCAGCCCAAGAAGAAGCGCAAGACGCGCATCTGCAAGTCGGAGGGCTGCGAGAAGTACGTGGTGGACCGCGGGCTGTGCATCCGCCACGGCGGTGGCAAGCGCTGCTCCGTGGAAGGTTGCAACTGCCGTGCGCAGAACCGCGGGCTGTGCTGGAAGCACGGCGGCTACACTCGCTGCACGGTGGAGGGCTGCACGAAGCGTGCCAAGTCACGCGGCATTTGCTGGTCGCACGGCGGCGGCACTCGCTGCAAGCACGGCGGGTGCTCCAAGATCGCGGTGTCGCACGGCCTGTGCTGGGCGCACGGCGGTGGCAAGCGCTGCCTGGTGGAGACGTGCCAGAAGCCGGCGTAC